GATTGGGTTTTCTTCTGTTCTTATTCTGATCTGAAATTAAAAAAAATAACTCGCCCAATGGACGACAAGTATAGTAACTGTTATGTACTGATTGTTTTTAGTTTACTATGAACAATATTAATCCTTAGTTGGATTCGTAAATTGAGAAATTATAATTTGGATTCGTTAAACCAGATAACTTTTACTAAATCTACTTGTAGTTCACAAGAAATCAACCTAAATATTCCCTAATATGATTTCAGATTTTGTTGTTCGTAGAATTAATAAAGGGTACAGAGTATGGGTTGAGTTACTTTAAACTGTTTTTATTTGACAAGCCTGCAATAATTACAGTAAGTAAAAGATATATTTCTTACTAACTGTCTTCAGTCATTTACCAATGATCATATCGGAAGAGGTACTGTTCAAAAAGCACTAGAAGTAACGTATTTATATATCTTTTAAAGGAACATAAAACTATAATCTTAAGCGTTCTTCAGTAATTACTTTATTTTAAATTCTTATTTTAATTCTCAAAAAGGCCAATATACCCACCAGTCAAAACTATAATCTTCGCGTTCTTTCGTAATTACTTGTTGTTTGATTTTCACTTAGTTTTGTTGTAGTATTTATTTAAAAAGCGCGAAATGATTTCATGCACGACTTAGAATGACATTTTCCTGTATTTTTTTCAACGTTTCATTTCAGACAATTGGTACCCTGATATCATACATTATTATTGTGATGCAGGTTAAACCAAGCTGAACACACTTTACTACTTTTTCAATAAGGGTTCTGCGTAGTCAAACCAAACGCTTATTTATTACATTTAGGGGCTAGGGGTTATGTTTCTTAACCATTATATCCATTTGAAAAGAAAATAAAAATCAAGCAATACTTCATATCTCATCAATTATTGGCGTTGAAGGTTTTCATAAACCCAGTCAAAAGCAGAAAAACACGACATAAATCTCATTTCATTTTAGAAATTTAGAGGCTATATCTTTCCGAGGCTTGATTATGACGTTATAATGGATTTGACGTTATAATAGTTTTGACGCTGCAATAATGATTGTTATAACGTCATTTTGATTGTTCATCATTATTATCAGAAGATTCCAGATAATAAGACGCTATTTTACTGCGCTCTGCAATAAAATACCTTTTAGTGGAATATTTTCACTGAACATCATCGTTGCAAATATCAACACGTTCTACTTGGTAAGTAATAGTTTAAGATTGTTGCATAATATAATAAATATATTTTGTGTGTTTGTAACGCTTCTAATAGTTAATTTGTAGGATTCGTAATTTAGGTTTTTGGAAAATGTTAACGTTTTAGATTAATTTCCATTACAGTGAAAAAATGGATTCACAGGAAGATCCTAGAAAATTAACCAAAGTCCGGGGAAATGAAGATTTCTATTCTAAAAATCGGACAGAAATCTCTTCTTCACCAACCCTCGGACCCCAAACCGGTAAGCCATTTATTTAAAAGGATAGTTTCATAGTCTCAGAAACGGGGCAGTTGACCGTCAAAATTTGAGTCTTTAAAACTATGTGTTTATAGAATTATCGGCGTTTGAAAGTTAAAATGAATGTTAAATTCTTAGTTTGTGGTCTTTAAAGGAATTATGCGATTTTCGGACATTTATATACCGTTAAGACTATTTAAATATATTCAAGTCTCAAATCAACCCCATGATAATGGCGATCTATTCCCTTTAAAAGAAGAGCAGAAAATTTTGCTCATGAAGATTATCGATATGCATCACTTTTATTCTTACTCATTAAATAAAAAATTAAACTTTTTGTATATTTTAGAAGATTCGGTTATGAATTTACATGGAGAAATCGCTCGTCCAGTTTTACAACGCCAACTTGATTGTTTAACTGAAGAAGATGAAGATGTAGATTATCCTCCACCTAGACTAATTACTGGTAGGTAAACTATTCTTCTCCTAGACCTAATTACTGTTAGGTAAACTTATTCTTCGCCTAGACTTATTACTGGTATGTAAACTATTCTTCTCCTAGACTAATTACTGGTAGATAAACTTATTCATCTCCTAGACTTATTACTGATAGGTAAACTTATTCTTCTCTTAGACTAATTACTGGTAGGTAAACTTATTCTTCTCCTAGACTAATTACTGGTAGGTAAACTTATTCTTCTCCTAGACTTATTACTGGTAGGTAAACTTATTCTTCTCCTAGACTAATTACTGGTAGGTAAACTATAATTCTTCTCTTAGATTAATTACTGGTAGATAAACTTATTCATCTCCTAGATTAATTACTGGTAGATAAACTTATTCTTCTCTTAGACTAATTACTGGTAGGTAAACTTATTCTTCTCCTAGACTAATTACTGGTAGGTAAACTTATTCTTCTCCTAGACTTATTACTGGTAGGTAAACTTATTCTTCTCCTAGACTAATTACTGGTAGGTAAACCATTCTTCTCTTAGACTAATTACTGGTAGGTAAACTTATTCTTCTCCTAGACTTATTATTGGTAGGTAAACTTATTTTTCTCCTAGATTGATTACTGGTAGGTAAACTTATTCTTCTCCTAGACTAATTACTGGTAGGTAAACTTATTCTTCTCCTAGACTAATTACTGGTAGGTAAACTTATTTTTCTCCTAGACTAGTTACTGGTAGGTAAACTTATTGTTCTCCTAGACTAATGACTGGTATGTAAACTTATTCTTCACCTAGATTAATTACTGGTAGGTAAACTTATTCTTCTCCTACACTAATTACTGGTAGGTAAACTTATTCTTCTCCTAGACTAATTACTGGTAGGTAAACTTATTCTTCTCCTAGACTAATGACTGGTAGGTAAACTTATTTTTCACCTAGATTAATTACTGGTAGGTAAACTTATTCTTCTCCTACACTAATTACTGGTAAGTAAACTTATTGTTCTCCTAGACTAATTACTGGTAGGTAAACTATTCTTCTCCTAGACTAATTACTGGTAGGTGAACCATTCTTCTCCTAGAATTATTACTGGTAGGTAAACTTATTCTTCTCCTACACTAATTACTGGTAGGTAGACTATTCTTCTCCTACACTAATTACTGGTATGTAAACTATTCTTCTCCTAGACTAATTACTAGTAGATAAACTTATTCATCTCCTAGACTTATTACTGATAGGTAAACTTATTCTTCTCTTAGACTAATTACTGGTAGGTAAACTTATTCTTCTCCTAGACTAATTACTGGTAGGTAAACTTATTCTTCTCCTAGACTTATTACTGGTAGGTAAACTTATTCTTCTCCTAGACTTATTACTGGTAGGTAAACTTATTCTTCTCCTAGACTAATTACTGGTAGGTAAACCATTCTTCTCTTATTCTAATTACTGGTAGGTAAACTTATTCTTCTCCTAGACTTATTATTGGTAGGTAAACTTATTTTTCTCCTAGATTAATTACTGGTAGGTAAACTTATTCTTCTCCTAGACTAATTACTGGTAGGTAAACTTACTTTTCTCCTAGACTAGTTACTGGTAGGTAAACCTATTCTTCTCCTAGACTAATGACTGGTAGGTAAACTTATTTTTCTCCTAGATTAATTACTGGTAGGTAAACTTATTCTTCTCCTACACTAATTACTGGTAGGTAAACTATTTTCTCCTAGACTAATTACTGGTAGGTAAACTATTCTTCTTCTAGACTTATTATTGGTAGGTAAAATATTCTTCTCCTAGATTTATTACTGGTAGGTAAACTTATTTTTCTCCTAGACTAATTACTGGTAGGTAAACTTATTCTTCTCCTAAACTAATTACTGGTAGGTAAACTTATTCTTCTCCTAGACTTATTATTGGTAGGTAAACTTATTCTTCTCCT